AGCCACAGTCTGAGGGGTACGGTCCATGATGGGCACACTCCTGGGGGAACACAGTCCTGGGGTGCAATTTGGGGCCTGCTCTGCCGCACACCCTGCACTGAAGCAGACGGCCCTGGCTGAGACCAGGCCCCATGTCAGGCACATCATCACGTTGCATAGAAAGTCCTGTGACCGGGGCCCACAGACCACAGAGGGCGGCTGAGCCAGGCGGCCACCTTGGCCAAGGCCTCCCAGAGACACGACATGCTTTGACGTATGAGTTGGTGCTGGCCCTGGCTTGTGGCCGCCACCGCAGTGCTTCCAGACCATGAGGCCCCTCACATGCCTGTGGCCAGAGTGTCTGCACGGCCCAGGGACAGGAGCGTGTGCCCTCCAGGAGGCTGTTCTGAGGCTGCGTGGCAGGGCATGGTGTCCCCTCCACGGGGGGCGCCCTGTCTGGGCTGCGAGGATGCGGGGTGTCGTGGGTGGAGCCTGGATGGAGCAAGGACCATGCTGTGTCCTCCATGCCGGGAGCTCTGGTTCTGGGAGAGGAGCAAGGCTCAGGCCATGCTGTCACTCGGAGGTGACAACTTCATTTCCATAGCAACCGCAATGCTTGGCAGGTGACGGCGATGCTGGGAGCCAATGGGACATGCGTGGACAAACCACACAGACACCCACGTGTGCTCAGGTGAGAGCCAGGAGGCCATCGTTTCCTGGGTGTGACCCTGCATGAAGGAAGCTGCCTTGGGGTCTGGGCCATCCAGCCCACCTCCCTGTGGGCTCTCCAGCACTTCCAGACCTTTACACTCACGCCAGCGGGGCAGCCAGTGCGCAGCAGGTGCCACAGAACCTCGACAGCCCATTCAGCACTTCCAGTCAGTGGAGGTGGCTCCTAGGGGTGACTGTGGCCCCGGCAGGAGCCCAGAGCCTCTGTGCAGTGTCGCTGGGCCAGGGCCCTCATCCTCTACCCCTGTGGACGGCCTGGTCTAGCTCAAGCCCACTTCACCTGTGGCCTGGCTGGGTTGCTGAGTCTCTGCAGCCCCTTGGAGGTGCCTGGAGGGGGTCAGCATCCCTGCCAAACGCTGCCCTCAGAGTGTGGACAGTGACGCTGGGGTTCTCTGCAGGATCTCAGTGCAGGCAGGTGTGCCAACCCTCTGCCCACACCGGATGTTAGAGGCTGACGTTGGGTGTAAAAGCCAAGGTGATTGATTGAAGGGGAAACTGAGGCAGGGTGGCTCGCCTCAGGTGCCGCCTGAATTCCCCAGCCAGCCCCATGTTCCCAGCCAGCCTCCCTTTTGGAATGTACTTCCCTGCAGCAGCCTGAGGCAGGACCACCCCAGCCCCCGACCCACCTCAGCATCCGGGAGGCAGCCTCTTCAGAGCCCGGAGCACCGTGGGTTTGGGCCTCAACACCTGCCTCTTGCCAGCCTCAGGCTCTTTTTCACATCCTCAGAAAGCTCTCACCCCAGCGGTCGGCAAGCGGGTAGCAGGTGCCCGGGCAGGGAGGGCAGGGGAGGAACAGCTTCACGGGCAGCCACCAAACGCAGGAGGTACCAATACCCACCCCCGGAGGGGCCTGGAGGGTCCCAGGAAGCCACCACTCCACCGAGGGACCTGCCTGTGCCACATCGCCAGGCAGCACCATCAGGACCCCTCCCTCCCGCCTCCACCCATGAGTGGATGTGAGACGGATCCCACGGGGCCCGGCCAACCTCGGCCTTCGCCTCCTCATGGTGGGGGGCTGCAGGCTCTGCCCTGACTGGCTGGGGTGGAGGAATGCGCCTGGGCATCCCCAAAGGGAGGGGCATGGGTACACAGAGGTCTCGGGGCCCCTCCTCTCCTCACCATCTGGCCCTGTCTGTGGCTCCTGTCTGCCAAGGAGGCTGTGCTCATGGCAAGAGCACAGAAGGCTGGGTGCCAGCAGAGGCCCCGCGATGCGGGGGGAATGTGGACCCTGGTGATGGTCCCCGCTGGCATGGAGCCTGCGAGGCTGAGCCTTGTGTGGATGACAGGCACCTGCCGAGGGGGTCTAGTAGAGGCCATCCCACCCTGATTCCAGAGCCTCAGCCCAGGGTGTGCCCGGGACCCAGCATGATCAGGGGCTTGGAAACCTCCTTGACACCACGGAGCGCCTGAGCAGTGCTGTCCACCCGAACGGTTTGATTGGCAGCTCTGGGCAACAGCATTCCCGAGGGACCATCATCAATGCCAAGTCCGTCTCTCAGAAAAGATCAAGGTGGCACTTTTCCTGGGACTCCCATCCTCAGATATCAAGGGCCCCCAAAACAGGGAGTCCCCGGAGCTGGCAGGTGGAAGTGGCTCCTGGGAGCAGCTGGAGGCCGCCCTGAGCAGTGTGGCCAGAACGCTGCCTGCCCCCGCACTCCCCAGCTCCTGTGGGCCACAGCGCAGCCCCCTCCGCCCAGCCTGCAGCGCCCAGCCTGCCGCCATGCCCACCTCCACCAGCAGAGGGCACCCCGCCCACACAAGCAAGTGCCCAACCCCCCTGCGCCCTGTACCCTGTGCCCCAAGCCCCGCGCCCTGAGCCCCACGCCCATGGGAGTCTGTCCCTCCGCACCCACTCCCACTCCCCTGGAAACCGCCCTGGAGCCAACAGCACCAAACGCTTCTCCAAAAAGACCCTCTGACCCAAAGCCACTGGCACTTTTACACAGGACGTGGGGTTCACAGGCTAAACACCTGCCTGGGCCGTCAGCCTGCGGCACGGCCTCCAGGTGGTTTCCATCGCTGGGCTTCACTCCCCATCGTGGAATGCGCGGGCCCCTGCCAGGTTTCCTGCCTCCAAGGTGCGGTGCTGTGATGGCTGCCGTCCCTGCGTCCTGTGTACGCGCCGGCATCATCATCATCCGTGTCGTCATCAACCCTCCCGGAGTCTGGACCCTGAGCTGAGCACCAGGGCGGGGCAGCCCCTTTCCACACAGTCCGGGGGGCCCTCCCGGTTCCTGGAAGAGCCTGGGCTGTGAGCTTTTAAATTGGGCAGGATGTGACTGCAAGGTGTGCTGCAGTGGGAGAGGACACAGGGGTCCCCCCATTGATCTCAGCCCCCAGCGTGACTCGGCACACCACTGCAGTCCAGCCGTGCTCCTGCCGCAGGCCCTGGCAACCCTCCCGCCAGGTGAGGCCTGGCCCTGCAGCCTCCGAGACCTCCCAGGCTGTCTGCTGGCTCCAACTGGGGCCAGGAGGCTGGGTAGAGGCCCCTGTAGACCAGAACCTCAGCAGGTGGCTCTGCCACACTCAGGCTTGGGACCCACACACAATTCTGTCTACAGAACAACTCAGACCCACCGCAGGTGCGTGGTGACGGTGGGAGCCGTGTTGCCTGTGGTCTCGCAGTGCACAGGCCACGTGCTCCTTTCTCTGCTGGCCTCAGGCCTCGGAAAGGCGGTGGAGGCGTCACCTGTGGCTGCTCTAACTGATGACCACAAACTGAGCAGCTTGAAAAGTCCACATGTGGGCCCACAGTTTGGAGGTCAAAGTCTGACTCAGGTCTCACCGGGCTGAAACCAGGGTGTGGGCAGAGCTGTGCGTTCTTTGGGGACTCAGAGAGAATTCGTTTTCTTGCCTTTCAGCTTCTAGAGGCCACAGCGTTCCTGGCTCCTGGCCCCTCCTGCCTGGTGAAGCCAGCAGCAGCCACCATCTGAGCTTCCACCCTTGTGTCTCCCTGGACTCTCGTCTTCTGCCTCCCCGCTCTCCTTTTCAGGACCCCTGTAACTCGGGGGACCCACCCGGATGATCCAGACAATGTCCCCATGTTAGGTTCCCTCTGCCATGCAAAGTAACATATTTGCAGGTCTCAGGGTTTAGGGCATGGACGTCTTGGGGTGCATCTCGGGCATGCCCACCACGTGGGGGTCTGTTCCCAGGGTGGCGTTGCGCTCACAGTCTCCGAAAGCATCCCTGTGCCTGCCGCCTCCCAAGCCTCATACCCCGAGTTGAGCTTTGCGGTGGGCTCCAACGGTGCCCGTCCAGCTCAGGGTGACCTGTGGGTGACCAGCACAGGGTGGGGGCTGCAGCTGAAAAGTGGGGCCAGACGCTGAGAGCACAGACCTGGGATTAAACCAGCTGGCCAGGTGAGGGGCCGCCGGCCCATGCTCCATGCAGCTGCCCAACCGCTTCTCTGCTGCTTCTCCTCTGCAACCACAAAGGCCCTGCTCCCTTCCACGGGGCCCCTCCCCTCTGCAGCCTGGCATTGCCGAGGGGAGTGCTGAGTTCAGGCGGTAAGGACAATGAGCCATGTTGCAGGTGGCCCTGGATCGGTGGTTTTGGCTCCATGTAGGTTCAAACTTCTCCAACAGCTGCTCCTTGAGCAACAGTGAAGAATAACCACTGTTTTGTGGTTATTCAGGTTTTCCCAATTGTGGAACTAGTCTAGGATGGACTTTGGGTCTGCCCAGCAGCCCTGGAGGGGGGCAGCATCTGTGTGGACCTGCTGTGGGACCCCCTGGGGGAGAGGGTCTGTCTGGGCTCGGCCAGCACAGAGGTGGACAGAGCAGCTGGGTTCTCACTGCCCTTGCTTCTGTCTCCCAGGGGCTCTGTCCCCACCGGGCCTGGATGGAGGTGGCCACAGACTGTCTGGGCTTCCTCTGCTTTCCCCAGGCCAGGGAGGGGCCCTCCTGGGATGGAGGGGACGCTCCAGGCTGTGCCCGACCTGCAGTCCCATTAGGTCCTAGCAGGACCTCTCCATGCCCTTGGAGCCTGGGGTTCTCCCCAGAGTGGTCCCAGGCGGGAGGAACGGTGGCTGCCAGAGCCTCAGCCACACCAGCCTGGCCCTGCCTGCTCCAAGGCCGCTCAGAGCCCCTGTGCCTCCCCTGGACTCCAGAGGAAGGAAGGACAGGCTGGCGCTCACCTTGGAGGTCACAGCAACACCAGGGTCCTGCACCCCAGGCCTGGCCTGCTCTCAGCTCTCTCCCTCCACTGTCAAGTTCCCTCCTCTGCCCTCCACCCTCCTCCCTCCTCCTTCGTCCTCCTCCTCCCTCCTCCTCCCCTCCTTCTCTCCCTCTGCAGCTAACAGTGCTTTCTGTCTCATCTCCTCTCAGGAGCCCTCCTGTCTCCTCCTCCTGGCAGCCCCTCCTGCCCTTCCTTGTTGCCGCCAGCCCCTCCCTCTTGCTTCCGTGGCACTCTCTGGCCTGTGCACACCTCCCTGGGGACGTGGCTGGCTCTGCTCTGTGTCCAGTGCTACTCCCCTGTGGCCATGTGGCCACGGCTCTGGAACAAAAGAGGAAGAGCCATAGGTGTCCCACACCTGGGTGGGGCCTGACTGGCCACTGCGCCCCACACCAGGTATGGTAGCTGAGCACTCAGCATGGCCCAGGGAGACGAGAGCCTGCGGGACGTGCAGAGGCCGTTCAAGCAAGGCTGTCTGAGGGCTGGCGGTCAGGGCGGCATGGGCTGGGTCACCAGGCTGGGGAACTCTCAGCTTGCGACCTCTTTGAGGTGCCGTATTTTGCTGCAGCAGGAGCCTGTGTGTGATGCAGCCTCCCCAGTGGGGTGAGGTCCAGGGAGTCCCAGAGCGGCAGGTGCGAGCCACTCCTGTGAGGCGTCTCCTGGTTCCCTGGGCGAGGTCCGAGGCTGAGGGTCCAGCCTGCCCTTTGCCACCTGCCCTGGCTGGTTTCAAGCAGGTGTGGGCTCAGCTGTTCCGCCACTGGTGGCTGTCCTAGCAGGGTCCAGCCTGCGGCCCTGCAGCCGGCACCCGATCCAGCTCCCCCAAGCTTTCCTCACCCTGCCGGGCCCCTCCTTGGGGCTCGGGTGAAATCAGGTCACTGGGCTCTTCCTCCGGGGAAGCAGAGCAGCCTCTGGAACCGGGACGGGCAGTGGCACTCCCTGGGGAGCCGAGAATGAGATTCTTCAGGTCGATTCTAAATTAGACAGAAGGTGTTTGGACTCCACGGGCCCCGGAACCACGGGAGCCACCAACCCAGGGGTCCCAGCAGGAAGGTGGTTGGACTCCACGGGCCCCGGAACCACGGGAGCCACCATTCCAGGGTCCCAGCAGGATGGGGCCTGCAGTTTCTTCTTGGAAGGCCCAGCTGCTGGGGTGTGTGGGCCCTAAATAAGGAAATAATGGTGTGGGGGGTTGGGGGACAGAATTGAGGAGGGGGTGGTGGGGGGCTTCAGCTCAGGGAGGGACGGCGAGGGAACAGGAAGGCCAGGCTCAGGGAGGGAAAGGGAGGCGCTGGCACCCAACCCCTGACAAAGTAGGGAGACCCACAGGGACAGGCCAGGCCCTGCAGGCCTGAGGGGCCCCATCCCACAGGAGGCCCAGCCTCAGCCCATGCCTCATTTTACCTGGGAGAGCTCTGGGTCTCCAGACCACAAAGACACTTGACTGTGAGCAGGACTCTGGGCTCCCACCCTCCAGTGATGAGCACCCAGAGTGGCCGCTGTAGCCCGGGACGTGGCGGTCAGGGCAGCCGGGAGGCGCCTGCTGCCTGCGGAGGAAAGGGGGAGTCCTCAGTGGGCCCCGCGCTCTTCCTGTTCCAGTGGCCGCCGGAGCTGGTGGGCAAAACCCAGAGCTTCATCTGGAGGCCCAGGCAGGGAAAGCAGGTGCGCCTCTGACTCGCCACAGGGACAGCGGCTCAGGAAGTCACCTGCTGCTGGTGGGCACGGATCGCTGTGTGGAGCCCATAGTCGCTCGGCTTCCCAGCCCTTTAGACCGAGCCCTGGCAGAGCACAGCTCATGCACACCGTGGCGCTGGAATGCCAGGTCCACACTGCAGAGCCTGGGTGCCCCTCCCCTGGGGCGCCTGATCTCTCCCTCCCCTTCCCTCTTTCTCCCTCTTTAGTCATCAGCAGCTGCACAGATGTCTGGGAGAGGGGCCCTGGAGTGGAGCCTTGGGCTGGGTGAGAGCATCAGGCTGGTCCGAGGCTGCCCGGCGTGGCCAGTGGGGATCGGGTCAATTCCATGAGGCTCCACATCTTTTTCTGGAGAGTGGGGTGGTTCCCACCCCCTGAGCAGGCCCCAGGGGCAGTAGCCTGCGCTGCTCTGCCGGTGGCCACCTGAGGCTGGGGTGCGGGCCATGGCCGGACTCTGGCCCGGGGCCCCAGGCAGCGCTGGACAGGGTGGAAAGCCAGGCCGCCAGAGCAGCCCAGGGTGGCCTGTTGCATCACTGCCACCCTGAGCCTCTTCTCCAACGTTGCCTGGCGGTGGGGGGCCGGGCCCCAGGGCCAGAGTCCCCAAATCCTGACAGTGCCCTTGGCCAGTGACTTCTGGGGCTCTGCCCTGACCAGTATAGGATTTTCTAGAGGGTTCTGAGCATATTCAGGTGGGAACAGACTACCCTGTGCCAGCCACTGACCCCACATGTGGGCTTGTCAGCGGGAGCACAAGAGCTTTCCTGGTCTGGGTGCTCCACAGCCCCGGCCCAGCACAGTGCGTGTGCTGCCATTTTTATGAGCAGGCAGGTCCTGGAGGGTTTTGGCCACAGGAGGGGGTGACCAGGACGCCTCTGCACCTCGAGAAGCACGTCCAGCCCCATAGGCCCAGCCCCATGGGGCTTCTGTGGACCAGGAGCCCATTCCCCTTGCAGGGAAGCGGGCCTGAGGGGATGGACTGGACCTGCCCAGACCCCACGGTGATCATGGGAAAGACCTGTCCCAGGAGTGCGTGGCCCGGCGATGAGGCCCTGACAACGTCCAGGGCAGGAGGTGGGTGGACCTGGGCCGCCCACCCCAGGCTGAGAGGCCCTGACAGACGGCGCCCAGCGCCCGGCGCCCAGGGCAGGAGGTGGGTGGGGCTGGGCCGCCCACCCCAGGCTGAGCTACTCACAGGCTCCCTGGAGCTGCGTCACCCGGGGCTTTGATGGTGCCCATGCCGCAGATGGGGAGAGTGAGGAGGAGCCATTCGCCGAAGTTGACAGACGTGCGTGGCAGCGCTGTTCAAACCTGGGCGGTCTGGAACCCTGATGCACCCGCAAAGCTCCAGGGCCTGGCGGCTGGAGACGCCCCAGCCTTGAATGCATCCATCGCCGAGCTGGGGGCAGCGACCCCCCTCACTGGCTACCCACATGCCCCCAGGGACAGCCTCCCTGACACAGCGGCATGCCTCCTGGCAGGCCCACGGGGGACCTGGGGCCAGGGCTGCTCAGCCTGCCCACGTTCCTTGGAAAGGCTGTCACTGGCTTGGCCAGATCCTCATGTTCTCTGCCGGAGTGAAAACCAGCTCGTTCTGTCCAAGCCTGGAACCGGCCCAGGCTTCCAGGAGGAGGCCACACCTGCCTGCCCTTGGCCAAGGGGAGCCAACAGACCTTCCTGGTTCCAGGGAACCCCATGCTGTCTGCTTTGCCCGGAGGCCCTGCTCCCTCCCTTAGAGCAGGCTCACAGCCGCCTGGGTGTGGAAGGGGTGGCCGGGCCTCCCTTGGACAACGCTGGCTGGTTCTCTTCTCTGGCTGAGAGTCAGAGCCCATGCCTGCCCCAACCCAGAAGCTTCCAGGATGCTCTGCCTGAGCCAGGCCCTGGCCAGGGCCAGCGAAGGCCCCACCCTCCCGGCCAGGCAGGGCAGGGAGCTGAGCCCAGGATGTGGATCATGCAGGCTTGGATTAGCCGAGGGCTGGCCGTGGCTCAGGGCCCTCATTGGCCTCTCAGAGCCTGTTTCTTTCCTTGTGAGGTGGTGACAGCAGCCCTGATGTCACAGGATGGAGCAGGATCACATGAACAGCAAGTCCTGGCTCACAGCAGGCACACGCAGGGGTCAGGACGTTGGCCCGCACTCTTCCCTGGGGGATGGTTGCTCAGGACCCAAGGCTGGCCTCCCTGCTGGCACCAGAACCCAGGGCCCCCTGGGCACAGGCCAGGGAAGGCTGAAAGGAGGGGTAGCCTAGCACAATCCAGCATGGAGAGCCTCAGTGCCTGCCCCCAGCAGGGTCCCCAGCCCTTACTCCCACACCTTTGCTGGGCAGCAGGTCCCCCCACAGGGGTTCAAAGGCTGATGGCCTTCCCTGAGGGTGCAAGGCTGGTTTTTGCAGAGTCCAGGTTGAGTGCTGGTGGCTTTGGGCAGTGGCTGGGGGCCCTGCAGATGCTCTGTGGACACAGCCGAATGGGCAGCACAGAGCCAGACCCTGCCCTGCCCTGCCCCGCCTCGCCCCATCCCACCTTGCCCTGCCATCCTCAGGGTAGGGTCCCGCAGGCCACAGCCTCCTTGCCTATAGTCACCAGGCAAGGACTGCTCCCGAACAATTCTATTCTCGCTAGTGCCCCCCCCACTCCCCGTGCTTACACGGCTGCAACTTCCCCCATCCTTCCAGCCCCAGCCTGCCCCAGGACACACTCCCTTAGGAAGGTGTTTGCTAATGAATGGCTCGTTGGCCCTCACGGCCCCTCAGGTGCGTGTCCCACAGCCCCTCTGGAGACTCACAGCCCGGCCTCTGTGCCTGGCTCAGAGCCAGAAGAACTCTGCAGCCTCCATCAGTCACACCGAGCCCAGCCCGGGGAAGGCCCCAGAAGCAGGGATGTGCAGCCTCGCAGACCCCCCTGGCCCTCCGCTCGGGGCTCCCTAGACTGCGTGCTCAGAGCCGGAGGAGGCGGCCCAGGCTGTAGCCCCTGCTCAGGAGGCCGTGGAGAACTGGCTGGAGTCCCCACCACGCCCTGAGTGAGGGAGCAGCAGGAGCGAGGCGGTTCTGTCTCCATGATATCAGGAGGGGTCCGGCCGTGCTCCCAGTGAGGGCCCGGGGGGCGGAGCAGGAAGACACAAGTGACCGCAACGCCAGGTGTGGCACTGAGCACCGCGTGCAGGCCTGCCCGGTGACCCTCACAAGCCCCGCACAAGGTCAGGGCTGCACTCCCATTTTACAGATGGGGAAGCCCAGGCACCCGGACCTTGCAGGGAGCATGTGGGGACTGGGGCCTTGTACAGGGCAGGGGTCATGTGTGGTCCCGTCCAGGTCACCTTACAGGTGAGATGCCCGGGCCCGCAGGTTGAGGCCGGCCAGCACCTTCCCCACAGACCCCCTTGGTGGCTCTGAGTGAGGGCTGGCCAGGGACAGGGCCTGCGGGGCACCACTGGGACCCAGCTGGAGGGTGTTCAGGAGCCATGAGGACTGCAGTCAGGCTGGCCCTGGGACGCCAGAGGGGATGCAGCCCTCACCAGGCCCCTCCTGTGGCCACAGCACAGCCCAGACCTGCCCGCCCCAGACAGGCTTCCAAGGCCTGGTTCAGGCCAGGGTACTGGGCCGAGGTTGTGCCCACACTGCCACCCCTCTGCTCTGGGTGCCCAACTCAAACCCGCCCGGCCCTGCCTGCAGTCTTCCAGCTGAGACCCTCTGAGGCCCCTGGTGCTGAGGGATTAGGGTGCCCCCGTGTGTGGTTTGAAATAAAAACAGCACTAAGCCGTCGAATGGGTGAAAGGTCAGAGTTCTGTTCTTTCCCACAGAGACGGTCTGGATGCCTTTTTTGAAATAACAAATATCAAATCCTTTCTAAAAAAGTCACACATGGCCCCGCCTGGTTGATGCCCAAGGACGTGCCCGGCTCACCCCGGCACCCTGCGGGCCCTCCCACCGCCGCCTGGCCTGAGCCTGCTGTCCTCGGCCCCCAGGAAGGAGCTCCGTTCTGCTCAGAGGGCTCCGGACCAGCCGGGCTCCATCACACCCTCCACTCCGCCTCCTCCCAAGGCAGGCTCTGCCCCTGGACTGTAGAGAAGGCCCCAGAAAGACCCACCCCCAGGACTGGAGACCCAGGAGAGGGATCCTACCCTGTGCCAGGCCTAGACCAGGGGTCCACCCTGTGTGCCCGGGGAACAAGAAAGCCAGTGGGGCCAGCGCCTTGGTGCAGGTTCCACGGGAAATGGGTCCTTTCCCGACGGGGAGGGAAGAGGTGCCAGGCAGACGGAAGTCTCGGTTTCCCCACAGGAGCCATCGGCCGGGGGCTGGAGGTCCTGCTTCCTTCCCCACCCCAGCTGGCGCTGGAGCTGGATGGCAGGCCCACCACAAGCCCTGAGAAGCTGGGCGGCTGGGCCAGCCCAGAACTGCCCTGAGCTGCCCTTCCTGTTGCACTTGGGTGCTGGACAGGAAGACCCCTGTCCTCCAGCCCCCTCCGTGCTCTCAGCTGGCCAGGGCCATGTGTCACCAGCTGAGCTGGGGAGCCCTCCAGGTAGGGACAGGGCAGGGCCCACGCAGGTAACACCTGGGTGACAGTTTGAAAAAGGAGGCCTCAGGTAACCAGCTATGGACCGTGGCTGTGCCCAACACTCAGCCGTTTGCCGGCTGACCAGGCAGGGGCATGAGCTGAGCAGGGGAGGATGGGCCCGTGTGATGCTCTATGGGGGGAGGGACCCTCGGCAGAGGACATTTGACTCAAGGAGGGGGCGCCTGGCCCAGGCTCGGCTCACCACCCAGCCCGTGTCCAGTGTCCAGCCAAAGCCAGCCTCTGCTCGGGCCGAGGCTGCCCTCCCAGGTGTGGGGAAGCCTTGGCCCCATCTGCAGTCCAGTCTCCCCAGGCTGCTCTCATCGCAGTGCCCCAGATTTTGCTTCTGGAAATACACTGGCAATTAAATCAAAAAGCCCTTAGAGCCGCCCAGGGAGGAAAGGTGAGCACTTATGCAACAGCTCATTACTGCGGCTCCCGAGGGCCCAGGAAGATGCCCGCCCGCCAAACCCACCTGTCCAGGACTCTGCCGAGGAGCAGGAGGAGGGCAGTACGCCAGCCACCTCTGACCTGCAGCCCCTCACGTCCTCGCAAGGGAGGATATCCCCTCCAGGGCCAGCCACGGTTCAACGCAGGTGCACGGGCACAAGGGCACAAGGTCACAAGGTGCTGGGCAGGGCTCGGGGGACGCCTGTCTCAGGCTCAAGGCTAAGGAGGGGAGGAGCGCTGCTGAGCACAGAGCTGTGCGGCCCCAAGGCTGGCTCCAAGCAGGGAGGGCAAGGGAACAGCTCCTGGGAGGCTCCAGGGCCGTGGGGGTGTTGGGGAGGTGAGGGACAGGGTACGCCCCGGGGGTGGTCAGAGGCCTGCTGGGCTGGCGCTGATAGGACTCAAGTCCACTTCCACACCCTCAGATAAGGGGAGACTGAGGGTCTTCATGCCCATTTATCCCCCTCAACACTGAAATGAAAGGAGGAAAGGAAAGAGGGAGAGAGAGAGGGAGGGAGAGAAGGACCAAGGGAGAGAGGGAAGAAGGGAGGGTGGAGGGAGGGAGGGAGGAGGGAGAAGGAGAGGGAGGCGGAGGGGAGGGAGAGTGGGTGGAGGAGAAGAAGATGGAAAGGGAGGGGAGGGAGGCGATGGGGAGGAGATGGGAGGCGGGGGAGGGGAGCGGGGAGATGGGATTGGAGAGGAGATGGAAGGCAGGGGGAGGGAGGGGAAGGGAGGGGAGGGGTCTAGTGGCACCTAGAGAGTGTAAGCAGTGCTGGCTGTTCTGAAGGGGCTGCAGCAGCTCCCCGAGTCTTTTCTGGGGCCTCTTGGGCCTGTTGACCCTCACACGGTCCTTGCCCCTGGACAATGGTGGGGGTGTTAGGGGTTGGGGGTCTGTCTGCCACTCACCAGGGCCTCAGGAGGCTCTGGCAGCACTGGCCCCTTGCCCTGGGCCATGGGACACTGCTGGGCTGATGTTCGCAGCCCCGTGGCCACGGCTGTTGCAGCCCCTGCCCCCTGCCCAGGGGTCAGCAGGTCCCAAGAGCCGCAGAGTCCCCTCCACCGTCTGCCTTAGTCCAAGCTCTGGCCCTTCCTTCACGAAGAAGAAAACTCAGTGGGCTCTCTTGATGCTTGTTCTCCCTGAAAATAATAATAGTAATAACAATAATAAAAATAGCTCCTGACTTATTTAATAATAAAATTGTAGAACATTTATGAAATAGAAGAAAACCACAGTCTTCAAAACCCCAAACTCAGAATGGGAAGGCCGGTGGCAGCATCTGCTTGGCGCTTCCAGCCCGTCCCTGGCACGCTGACCCTGCTTGGGACTCTCCTTGCCAGATCGAGCCTGCCCTGGGGCACCAGGGGACAATAAACCCGTGAAAGGTAGGATCGGTGACCAGCGCTGCCCAGCGAGGATGAACCAGGGCTCAGCCAGGAGGGCCAGAGCAGCGGCAGGTGTCCAGCCATGGGGTGGGGCTGGCTCAGAGAGGCCTGTCCCAGGAAGGGAATCAGGGTAATCCCTGACTGCAAGGCCTCAGGCAAGCGCAGGTGGGAAACCTCTGCAGATCCCAGAGGCCAAGCCAGGGGGCAGTTTGGAGCAGGCAGGGGGCTGGAGGGGAAGAGCAGGGGCTTGGTAAGGCGACCTTGGCTTTCACCAGCCTGGAGACCAGCCTGCAGAGTGGGGCGAGCTTTGCTTTCTGGATTCTGACTTTCAGCGGCGGGCCCTGTGTTCTGGTGGGCTGCCAAGCCCCAGTGAGTTTGTCTCCAGGGGAAACTGCCTATTTGTTTAGGAAAATATGTTAATGGCCTTTTGGGTACTGGAAGGAAAATCTCAGGGCACTGTCTGAAATCAACAGAGTCAAAGTGGCTCACAGCACAGGAGGGGCGTCCCACTGGGGCAAGGGGCCGCCTCAAAGGCGGAACTGTCAGGGGCCCTCAGATTGGACCCAAGGGGCAGGGGAGAGGGAATTTGATACAGGATAAATTGTACCTAGTTTTAATTTAATTTATCTGATGACTAGAGATGTTAAGCATTTCTACTTTGGACATTTGATTTGTTTCATTTAAATCGTCTTATGCTGGTCTTTCTCCATTTTTTACTGGGATATTTGTGGGGTTTTTTTTTTTATTATTACTAGTTTTGTAGTTCTTCATCTGTGGCAAATACTTTTTCCTGTTTGTCACTTGACTTTTAATTTATTTAAGGTATTTTTATAAATAAAAATGTTAAAATTCTATGCACTCAAATTTGTCCATATTTTCCCTTGATGAAGACTCTTTGGTTTATGCTTAGAAAGTTCTTATCAAATTCAAAATTGGTGCAATACTTATAGATGTATGTGTTCTTATTTATAGAATGATTTGCTTTTTTATTTATTCTCTAGCCCATCTGGAATTGATGTATGTGAACACTTGTCTAGGAATATAACTTTATTTTTTCCCCAAATAATGAACCCGCCTTCCTAGGACACTTGTGGTGTTTCATCCTGTGGCCGCCTGGGCCCTTGTGGTTTTGTGCTTTGAGTGGTGCCTAATGAAAGGGCCCCTGGAAGTGTGTGCAGAGCTTAAAGGAAACTCGGAAGACTGAGCCACTTCTCGGGACCAGGGGCGTAGAGCTGGCACCCTCCTATCAGGAACCCTGGGAGGCAAGCTGTGGCCAAGAGACCCCCAGTGGGCAGCAGCCTTGGGTAAGAGATGGGCCCACCCAGAGCAGTCTGGTGGGGGATCAGGAAAGAGAAGGCCTGACCTTGGTGTCCTCCCATCTCCATCTCCTACCAGTTCCTCCCTTTGCCAAACCCAATCAGAAGGCAAAGGGCACAGGAGTCCCCAAGATGGAATGAAAAGCTCATGGAGAGTTCCACTTCCACATGCGAGGTGGCAGCCCATGGCAGGCCAGTGATTCTGCAACCATGACTAGAAAAAGCCAGGGCACGTGTGAGAGTCCTGCCTCTAAGGGCATCAGAGAGCTGCAGAGACAACTAGGCAAGGGACAAGCGCCCCCAGGCTGAGCCGAGTGTTCCCCAGCCGCCCGCTGGCTGGGCCGAGTGTTCCCCGGCCGCCCGCTGGCTGGACACCCGTTTGGCCCAGACAAGAGGCCACTTCTGGACAAAGAGAAATGGCAAAACTTTTGGTGCTTGCCACAGAGCTAACGGCCAGATTGGAAACTCGAGGGGCTCAAGCAAACCACTGGTTCTTCTGAGGGGCATGTGCTGAGTCTGTGGTCACGGGGGAGGCTGGGAGGTGGGAGCTTAGCTAAGTCCTAAGGCACAGTGGACTCTCTGGCCCTCCCATCCCTGGGGACAGAGTTCCTCAAGCACATCCTCTCCACCTCTGTCGAATCATCCATCTGATTACAAAGCCGGGAGACACAGAAGGCTGGAGAGTTCAGCTGGAACCTCCAGAAGGCAGAGCCAGGCCTTGTGCAGACCTTAGGGAAACTGAGGCCTGCCAGGCAGGCAAGGCCATACCCAAGTGTGGGTAGACCGAGTCTCATTCAAATTGCAAGCTGCCCCTCCCAGCACAACCCCTGGCTGGAGGGACATGGTGAGGCTGTGCCCTCTCCGCCCTAATGAGGAAAAGAGGCCCTTGCTGGTGCAGGAGTCTCACTGGCTCTTTTATACACAATGTTAGGCATATAATCAACAATCTTCAGACATGGAAAGAGGCAAGAAAATATGGCCAATAACTAAGAGGAAAAAATAGACAATAGAAGTAGACCCTGCAGTGACCCAGACGTTACAGTTTGCAGACAAGGACTTTAAATTAA